AATCTCTTCTAGTTCCGCTTCTATTGATGTCTTAGTCTTTGTTTTATGTGAAGCTGTCATTCGATACTGACGGTGTGTTTCGAGTAATTTTACAATGTCAGTTATCATTTATCCCGTGTCAACACAAAACGCAGGTCCTCTCCTTCTCCAGTCGCCAAAACCCTTCACTTGGAACACCGCACGCCTTATATAACGTAAATATATTGTCATTCTAAACGGTAAACGGCAGCACAATCAAAAACTGCATTTCTATAAGTGTGTTTTGTGTTCTTCCACTCATAGTCGTAGATATACATATCTTTATCCGAAGGCAGGTTTGGTGTATGCTAGTGAAGAGGAGCCTAGCTACTGTAAAGGGAGGGTACGCCATCAAGATACCGAAACATTTTCGTTTGGCATATGGCATTTCCGTGGCGGAGGGCGTGCCTCGTAACGGTCCAACGGAGCTTTTGTGACCGTAGCTTTCATGGAGCGTTTCGCCCAGGTTGCATTGTCGATTCGGCCTTTGAGTGGTTGATCGTGAGTGGATGCTGTTCGCGGAGAGAGCGTAGAGGAAGGGCAAGGCGTTCATACTGTTGACGTCACACATCGTTGGAATCACGTCGGGAATCAACGGGCAAAGAGGTTCCCATTAGGAAGGTTTTGGCCTGTTTTTCCTTTCATTTTCTCCACTGCTCCGTTTGCCACCTCTGCTTTCATTTCTGACGACGATCATTGAACGTGTATGTGGTGTTCATTAAATAATCGCAGACATCTGTTATCAGTATGTGTTTCTTTTGGATGGTTGCCTATCAAGGAAATGAAGGAGTTCGCGTGTTGGTTGTTAGCCTTTCGAATTGATTAATCCTTTATCTGTGGTCTAGTATCTTACAGCTGATGGGACAACGTAAATTTCTCAGTTAAAGCGGTAATGTTGGTAAGTTAAAATAACCTAGGTTAAGCGAAGTATGTCGAAGCTCTCCTTGTTATTGAACGTATTAAATTCTGTCATTTCAGGTAAGTCATGTAGCACAAGACTTCATACGGCGCTGTTTACAATACAAAAAGGAGGACCGAGCCGATGTTTTCGAGCTTATGAAGCACGAGTTGTTCCGACCACGAGGACAGGTTAGCGGAGTTCTTATTCCTTTTTGCGAAGTTGACTAAATTGTTGTGAGGAGATCAATGCGTCGAGCATATTTATCAGTAGATTATTTAATATTGTTGGGCATATATTAGTTTGCGCATGCTTGGGCAGCTGTCATCCTGAAGAGTCGTTTAATTATGCATCACATTATCTAAAAGTCCTCAGTTTTTGGTGTTCCTCCTATCTATCAACAGAATTACGAGGAACTTTTTGACTGCATTGGCACCTACAACTAATCCTTCCTTCTGAACCACATCTAATTGTCTTGCAGTGCAGCCTCGGTTTTGGTTCTCGACCTCCAATAGCCTCTCTTCAGTAACTGTCCTGACGCGCTCCTGTGTGTTCCCTTCGGTCTCCTCATGTAGTGATGTGGATCAGTTGAACAGTTCCAGCAGTGATGTGGATCAGTTGAACAGTTCCAGCAGTGTATAGCAAAAAAAGTGGTGGCCAATCTGTTCACTTGGGTAAATGGTTCGGGCAAAAGCATTGCCACAACAATTCCCAAATACTGCAATGCGCTTGAAAGAGTAGCAACATCGCTTTCTTCCAATTTGAGGAGAATAATAATTTTGAATTCATTGGCTCTTACTGACTATCAGCAGTACACAACATTCTGAACGTTAACATTTGACTGAATCTGTAGTGACATTGTGCTTATTCAAAACTTTTTCCAGTTTCAGAAGAGTGGACCACCATCGTCACCAAGTATTTCACGAAGTCTTTCAAAGGGAGATGTTGATGAGTGAAAGTGCGGTGACTCAAAGTCAATCTCAGGACGTGTCATTTCTCTCTGTCTCTCTTAACGAGCTTCGGTCACCGAGCGCTCGAAATCGCTCACAAAGAGGTCATCGTTTTCGGATCGTAGCTTTTTAGAGTATAAATTGATTGTTTGATTCGTTCATGTGTATTCTGGGTTATTTGAAATTTGTTTCTCGACGTTCGTATTTTTTGAATTTAGTTAAGAAAAAATTCTAAACCACCCAGTTTACAAATGTATTGAATTAATCCATTTATGACAGGTTCAGAGCGTAAACGCTCTCTTCAAATGTTTTGCTACGTTTTTTATTCCTTACTCTTTGTATGATGTATGATGATCCGGTGTTAGAAATGAAATTGCTCCTATTTCCACATCATCCGCACGCTTTGTTGATCCAATGTTCCGCCCTAATCTCTTTCAACTTGTTAATATTCTATCGCTTGGGAACTTCCCTTTACGAGTTTTTCTGTGTAATTAATTATTTTTTGTATAACGGAGTAGCGCACATTTTTGCAAATGTAATTTGATAAAAGAATTCACTGGTCATATGACGCGCTATTTTGTTTTCCACATGACAAGACTACGTGTCTAGCAATTGGCTACACACAGAGTATTGTGTGAATTTATTTATGTTTGATAAAATATGAATCACAGCTTGGTCATTGCTTCACATACATTATGATAATCATATCTGTGTGATACCGTCGATAAGTCTGTTGCCGGTTATAATCGATGATGTCAGTATGAGGCACACATTGGGCATGAGTCGAATTCCGGCAAGTTCTGCTCGCGTTACACCACCCACGATGAACACAGCCGTGCGATCGTCACCTAGAAACAGTGCACACATTTCCCTGTCTCCTCGGCCGCCATTCTTTGCAAGGCCGATCGATGATTCTAATGTGTCATCATGTGCGCTTTAAACGCCGCGTTTTCGGAGATTAGCAGCATTCGAATAATAGGAGGGAGACGAAAACTAAACTCACCACCAATAGTACTCTCGGATGTCTTGTTCCATCCAGCCCATCTTACTCGATCTCCCTCCTCGAGTATTCGAACAATTAGTGGAGCATAACCACTGTACGCATATGCAGCATCTTGCGTACTCTAAAAAAAGGCATTCAATCTACAAATTCAGCACTAAAACGCCTATGATTCCGCAGCACGGACTAAGATCTTACCGTTTCTGATACATTGTCAGGCAGTAAATCGTACTGTTTCTTGATGGACGAAAACATAGTGGGGGATAATCGGCAGACAGCTTCCCACTGCCACCTCGTTCTCGGATCGTCCCCATTTTTTGCAGCTTCAGTAGCTTGTTCAGAGCTTCTACACCAAATGACTAAATTTTCCTTTTGAGTAAATACATTTCGCATTATTCAAGGGATCATTCTAAAAAAGATAAAAGTCTGACATGCTAGTGCCAAATTTTGGTTGCACTATCTTTCCAACAACTGAGAAATGAAATCACCATGAGATCGCATTGGATATGTGGACAGGACTCATAGTGTCACTAATACTCAGTGAGACATACTCTCGCCACCTTAACTGGAAAGCAAAGTTAGGGGAGGGGGTAGGAAGGGTGCGGTCAGGGTCAAGCGTGCGTTGAGGAATCCTCGACACGTCGCAGGGGGGGGGTCGTATTGGCCCGCTGGGTGGAAGAGATCGAGCCATTTTGATGCAGTGGGATCATCACCGTCGGAAGACAAATATCAAGGATGAGTCGATGCCAGGCCAGAGGATTTCCAATGAAAATGATATTTCACCCACACAAAATTTTCGTGATTCTGAGGCGTCCGGTAATTCTTAGTTACTTCAGTGTTTTATCACCACACAAGTTAAAGAATCTGAATTTCGCACGCTTTCCAAGAGATATTTCATCTTTCAAGTAAGACCCCGAATCGGAAGGGATGTGAGGTACACGGCGCATCCGAGAAAGGGTCTAGTTGTTGCGCGCGCTTCAACTACGGCTCCTTGGACAAACAACCTCAATTCAGGAACAATCGAGAGAATTCTGAAAGTGTCCGTGCGCATTTACAGGGAGGTGTACACCATTCAACATTGCGTTAACGGACTCTTCAGGGTTAAATTTATAAACATGTAACCTTTAAAGTTGAGAAACGCTAATCAATCACTTTTCTTAGAAAGAGAAAAGCAGTGATTCCAAATCTGCTCTTACTTTAGTACATAATCGCCCTTAAAAGGATATACAGCCGTTGAAATAGTGCCAATGTAGCGAAAAAGTACCTTTCGGCGGTACTCGTGCGAAAATCCTCAACGTAGCCGTTTTTTTAATACTGGACGTTTGGAGCAGTTCTAGTAAGCATTTGATAGAGCAAATCTTCTAGTTTATGATGGCGTATTTACTTTTCGGATTGGATGAGTTTGAACGGAGTTATGGCTTTAGGAAAGTGAAAAAACTCGCACTCATCACAAATTTTCCTCGTTAATTTTGCGAAAATCCTCAACGTGGGCATTTTTCGAATACTGGACGTATAGAGCTGCTTTAGCAATGGTTTGGTAGAGAAAATCTTCTAGTTTTGTCTGCCATATTAACTTTTCGAATTTGACGAAAATGAAGCAAGTTGTTGCTTCGGAAAGTGTAAAAACTCGTGCTCATCTCGAATTTTCCTCGTTAATTGACCTAAATTTGTTATTTCTTATAACTTTTTGTAATTTCAATACTGATTAGAAAAAGCTCTTCACAAAACTTCCAAATCTGCTTTCAGATTGAAAATTCGTCATATTTGAAGAAAGTTATAATCATTTGAATATTTGTTCAAATTTCAATAGTAAATAAGCTGCTCCACGGTCAACGCCAAAGTCCAGTCAACACACAGCTGGCGAAGGCGGTTAAAAAGCTTCTTTCAACTGAAGGGCTACGTGCAAATTGAGAACCACAATCTGTGTAGTACTAGAATTTGGTAAGTCTTGTGGAGGAAATAAAAAGAACAGATGTTGTCATAGTATGCCATTTTTAGTGGCTAGTTTGTCGTTTTCTGGTCTGTTTCTCGTTTGCTCGTTTGGTAGGACTCATCAATAATGATTATTCTTTGACTTTTTCACTTTTGTACTTCTTAAACGAATTTTTTTGTGGGCGGTGGGGTAGCAGGGCTTTTTTATGAGCAGTTTTGGGGGAGAATTAAACAAGCTTTTCAACCTTTTCATAGTTCGGCTTTTGAAGAGGGTTGTTTCATGGACTTCGGCCTCCGGCGGAGGGTGGTGGGGGGGGGGGGTCGTATTTCCAAATTTTCCTCAACGCCTCGCTTGACCCTGTATGCGGTACCAAACACCTCTACTGACATGTTTGTTGTGATGTTGCCTTTGAAGAACAGCCTCTTTGCCATTAAGGAAATAAAAAAGCTTACGGAAGTGGTATATCTGTTTTTATGTTAGCCCAGCAATCAGTGAGGGGGTGATTGGGACCTCACCTCATTTACCGTCAAAGTACGGCTACATTTCGGTGACGGCCTTTTCGGCGAGTAGTCGTTTGGCTCTGTTTTCATAAACTAGCTCCACGTCTGTCGGTGGAATGCCCTGCACCGCTAACTGACTAACCTGTCATCTCTATTTCTGCCACACTTTTAAGCATGACTCTCTCAAAAGTACCCTCGGAACCTCGGTGTTATCTTCTGATTTTTATAAATATTGGGTTGTCTCATCCATTCACGCCCTCATATATTATCAAGAAGATGTTAGCTATCCATACCTGCATAACCATACGTCTGTATTGCAAAAGGACGGATGGCTTGAGCCCGTTAGCCGCAAGCGCATGAGCAGCGACGAGTCGAATTGCGGCGTTCACATCATCCCCGCTGATAATGAGCTCTTCAATGAATGGGTGTACTTTATCGTTTGCAGCAGACTCCAGTAGCTCTGCAATGAAAGCGCTTAGTTCCAAGGGACTTGTCTTAGACCTTGTGGCCTGGGTTGAAAAGCAAACTATCCATAATAACGACAAATGTAACAGCACATTTTGAAGTTCTTCTGATGGGAGTTTTTTTTCAGGGATGTGCTATAAAGCGGCATAGGTAGTTGAAAAGAGAACATGAAGCAAGGAACCACAAATGTTTACTAGGAGGGATTTGCTTTTCATCGCCCCCTGATTCTCAAACATTCAAAATCGACTTGTCAGTGTTTGCACTCGCGCAATTTACAACACTGTCCATTATAAAAAAGATCTCAACACAAGTTTTCTGAGCTCTCTAGTAGCTTGCTACAATGGATGAGCATCTGTGTCGTTTTCGTTACACTGCTCATCCATCTCTCTCTCTCTCTCTCTCTCCTCTCCTGAGGATTTTTCCTTCTTTTGATCAGAATGTCAAAATGGCTCCAATCGACAGTCATGTTTAATAAGGAAACAGAAATGCTTCCAACGAAACGTTCACGAATCCAGAAATCACCTTTTTCCACTCGGATGTAATCAGCAAATGACTCGTAAAGCTGCGCTCGCGCCATCTCAGCTAATCGCATGTGCACACTGCAGAGCTTCTTCTTTAGGAGAATTTGAGGCATCTTCTTTACAAGCACTTGATACTCAGCTACAGACATACGGTCGCGGTCAAACTGAAAAGATCATGAATATAAGAAATTTTGGTTCTCAATTGTTACTATCCACAAGTGTGACTCGGTATTTACCTCTTCATCCTCTTTTATTTCTGCCAGTACTTTTGCGAGTTCGAAACCAATGGCATTAATATGCACGTGTTTGAGCCGATAGAATACCTCATCGTTCAGGTGTATTTCTTTGAGAGCAAATGGGTCAGCATTGTCGTTGTTTTCGAATTCAGCCAATGGAACCTAAAGGGCAAGAACGAAATCGAATATTATTAAAATGTAATCATTTTCAGTTTATAACCAGAAAGTTTCTAGTTTTTGAGAAGTGGTAACACTTAGCTAAACGTAAATGGTGGGGCTCAGGATTTAGCACAGTACGAACAGTTTTCAATGTGCCTCTTAAAAGGCTCGGAGAATTTCGGATCTTAGTTTTTCTGCAGGTGGGAAATCACCTTAAAAGTACTATCTAACCACCTTAATGGATAGGCACGGCTCTGAAAAACTCGCCCTCTCCAGGGCAGCTTCCGTGCTGAAGTATATTTAGGAAAATTTGACCTTGTAAGATAAGCTGTACCAGAAAGAGATCTCTTTATGTATAATACACGCACGAAGTGCAGTCAGAATTTGCGATTCCGACCGAAGGATTCATGATGGATGAACTGGATATATTTGCTGGGTTTACTAAGTCTCCCAGAACTACTTTGTAGCAACATTTCTGAGCTTACCTTGATTGATCCAACCATGCTGATGCCATATATCTCGTCAAGCATACCACCGTAAGTTAGTTGATGTAAAAATGGTGTGAGAGGGTCAATCCAACGATCAATGATCACTAAGCGGTTCAAACGCAATTGAGGAGATTGCTGCTCCTATAATAAAATTCTTCCTAACATTCAGCTCTTTCAGAAAGAAAAGTCATACACTGTCGCAGGGTCCCATTTTGTGCACCATTCGAGCAACATCTTGAGCCCATTTTCCACGACTGTAGATGGGTACTGACTGCGGACATAATGCCAATAGTTGATGCACTGCCACTGCGCAACGATGCAAATGAGTCCAGTCACCATTAATCAGCAGCCTGCAGCAAGAGCTTCAAGAATTCGTTAGATGTTCGCCATATGACTGGATAAAAAAGGATAAACCATTCAATTACCAGACCTAGACGGGAGTTTGTGATCTGCTAAGGATAAAGCATTTCCATCACGAGGCAACCAAGTGAGAGGAAGCTCGCGTACCGATTCCAACCGCTCCCAGTACTGCAGAAGATTGTTTTACTATTATTTAAAAAATTTTGACAAACCACTGAATAACTGACCTTTCCGCCGTTCAATTCCTTCAGCTTCTCACGAACTACGTACCATGCCTCAGGAATGAAGAACACTTCGAACAATGTTTTCTAAAACGAAGAGATGAACAAAATTTCAGGGGAAAAATCAACATATAGATTACCGTATCAGCTTTGGATTTGTCGATGTATTCACACAGTCCATCTAATGCAGCCAATGTAGGCGCCAGGAAGAAGATGACGTATGGGGTGTCTGGTGGACGAAATTGGTCAAGCGCTAAATTGCTGACCACGCCGTGGGTCTTCAGCACGGAGGGACCGGCGAACTGAAAATATCCAAAGAAGTGTTTCAATCACACTTATTTACATGTTAAATCTGCTGCCCGCGACTGCGTCTAACCTTGGAACAGCACGTGAGCTGTATCCGGGGTTCAACAAGGGCGATTCGGTAATTCGGCGATTTTACAACTTATGGGATACTATCACATCGCTTTTGTCAGAGTGCACCAGGTGGAGGATTGTAACAGTGAAAGAGGTGAGAAAACAAAAGAAACAATCACAGACAGCTTAAGCTCATGATATAGTGAAAATGTCCTTACCTACAGTCCATATCCCTCCGTCTGTAGGTGCATTCATAGTCGATCGTCCGAAAACGATCGTAACAATCGTACAGCGTTAGATAGGTATCGATCGTCCAATCCTCGGACAAGTCTGAAGATCGATACGCATCCAATGCTGTGCGATCGTTACGATCGGACGACCGACTATGAATGCTCCCCGAGTAGGCGTGTCACCAGAAATGACGTGGCGGGCCTTGCCCTTGATAGAATTCACGCGCATAAGCTGTTTGCAACATACTTCGCTGGAATTCAGTGAAACATGCTGGAAACAGCTCATCCATGGGACTTCTATTACAAGTGCGGCGGGCCCAGGCTTGAATCTTCCTTACATCCTTCCTGAGTCGGTTAATTGGTACCAGATAAGTCTGGGAGGTATGGAAACATTAATGGTACTCGCCTACGCAAGTCACCGTATAGGCCAGACCCTTTCAAATGCCACTGCGATTCTAATGGGAGGCGAATGCGAGGCGCACCCGGGATTGCAAAGCCTAAGGTCAGCCCTTTTTCTCCGTTATCCTTTGTCACATGGTGACTCACAAAAGAACTCGTGCCTTTTTCCATATTCTCCTGGTAAAGTACACAACGGTAGGGCACAAATAAATATAATGATGAATAATAGTGATCCATCTCCAAACTGATGGGTTGACACTCTCTGTCAATATGGCAACTTTTAACCAAACCATTACAAACAACAATAAGTGATACTCTTTCGATATGCGGAACTTCTAGCACTTTTTAAAAAGCAACTTTAAGCAGTCCACGTCAATCGCGTTGCTTTGCGCAGATTTTAGCATTCAATATCGACCTCATTGAACCATCCGCCACATTCAAATTGAGGGAACTAGGTGGCCGTCCTTGTTTGACATAAAGTCCGACAAACTTGCCCTGCACCAGGATTGCCTTACTAGTCTCAATCTATGAGCGCGACACCGATGAGACGTTGCTGGTCTGTTCAACCTTTGAGTTACACAATTGCTAACAGCTTTTTTTGAAATTTTTAGTGTTTGTATATTGTATATTGTTCTGTCAGTTTTGTTGTTGTGTGCTATTTGTTATGAGTACACTTTCTTACTCCCAAATCTAAGAAAATCCATTGAGTACGATGGCGGTTCCCCGACCTGATCTTTGACTGAACCTAGACATGAGTGACGTTATTTCCGCTCCTTTTCAATACTTCAGACATTTCAACGGAGTTTTAGAGGTTGAATATCTGTGACCGAGAATACCCTCAGCCTCGATCTATAAGATTACCGCGAGCTGATGAATCTATGCTGCGAGCGGTATGTACGTTGCGTCTACCCACCGTTTTAGTCGCTGTATCGGGAGCAGGAGCTTTAGCTGAATGAGTCGGACTCCTGTTCTAGTAGAGGATAGGTTCGCAGCGACTGAAGCAGATTCAGAAAGAACATATTCACACCCAATGTTTTGGAACGTTTGGATCGCCAAATCTTCGAATGATAGAGTCATTTAGAATGTTGTATAGGAATGTGGCGTTAATGAGATTGAATTTGCTGGAATTGTGCACATCACGTTCGTGTCCCATCCCTTTTCATGAATGCATCGGCAGTCGGTTAAAGATGCACACTTTGCAATTTGGAAGATTAGGGAATTTGTATTGAGAAAGATGTATCGATTGGAAGGTTAGGAGATTCAGCTGATAAGTATTGACTGATCTAGAACCTTGTTTCTCGGGCACCTATCCCCAATTCTCCCAAACGTGTAGTTGAGCGCGGCCCATGGGCGCATTCATGGTCGATCATCCAATCAACGACCGACTATGAACGCGTCAAGGTATTTCGAAAGTTCAATTGTGACAGTGACAACTACGTGACAGTGTGGAGTGACAACTACGTATCGATGTCTGACGTCGGACAGTTGAACGCCAGAACGATCGATATGTATCTAATGTTGTGCGGTCCTTACGATCGCAACGATCGGACGACCGACTCTGAAT